CTCACCCAACCCCCTTTTGTGGGGTTATGATATCTGTCTTTGTTTCTCTCTACCCAGGGCCACTGAGTTGGGAGTGGCTTGCAAGTTTTTAAAGGAAGGAAGTAAACATTATTCTTTGACCCCTTTTGACAAGTTAACTTTTGTGAAGGGTGGCTGTTTGCTTGCAAGGAAGTACTCTAAAATGTGAAGGGGTCAATATCTGTGTTTGCCATGTGTCAGTCATCAGTATCCGTGTTTGCCAGGTGGCTGGCCTCTCCTTCTCTCTGTGTGTTTACCTGAAATCATTAAGGTTTCTTCTACTTCCCCATTTGAAGTGGAGTTCAGTTTAATACTTCACATTTGGAATGCATGCTTAAACGGAGAAATCAGTTCGGTCTACATAAATACCATAGCTTCTTTAGGAAGGCAGGGGAATAAGGAGGGCAAATGTTGCAAACTCTGCCAAGCTAGGGGCCATGTGGTAGTGTACATGTAAACAAGGGAGGATTATATGGTACATTATGTGAGTTGAGAATAGGTTTAGCCTTCTCACACCCTGGGAGCTCCATCTGGAAGCTGTTCCTTGACCAACAGAAATAGTTGGACATTTTCTTATCTTCTGTAACAGCAAAGAATAACCTGAGTATCTTAGGCTGGGTTCTCTGGAGGAACAAAAATCACTGTAGTGTCTGTATGAACCGGCTTCAAAAAATCATGGAAAGATCCCATTATCTTCTAATTTCAACTTTGCATGAACTTTTCAAAGCCGTTCTCATATATAATAAGTATATAGAGAGCAATTTATTTGAAAGAAATGGCCCATGCAGTTGTATAGTCTGACAAATCATAAATAGGTGGGTCAGGTGTCAGGCTGGAGGCTTCATCTGGCTCACATGATTATGGGAGCTGGTGAACCCACACTCAGCAATCAAATGACAGAGCTCAACTAATGATAACCTAGAGGTCAGGGGACAGTGAATCCCATGCAGACTGAGAGAAAGTTAGCTTTGCTGAAACATCCATGTATGAGGTATTGCTACTAGGGTTCCAGACCATATATGCATAATTTATTCCAGACAAAACATGTGAGCAGTGAGTGACTGCAGACAGGTGCTGTCAATAGTAAACTTGTTTTAGTTTTGTTAGGGTAACCTTATAGAAACAGTCCAATCAAAACATTGACTTTCAATGGGGATCTGTAAGCCAGTTAAATTCAAGACAGGTCCACTCAGACGGTTATGGTGACTATTTGATGGAATTCCCAAGCGATACTCTGGTAGATTTTTCTTGAAGAATGAAAGGCTTATTATAGAGAAACTTTAAGGAAGCAGAAAGTTACATTGCTGAGAAGATTGAGGTTTTTTCCCCATCACAACAATATACCTGTTCATTTTTTGAGGGAAGCAAGGACTGTCCTAGGAGAATTTCATTGGGAAACCTTCTTCCATCCACCCTACAGCCTGACTCTTCCTAAAACTTAAAGAATATATATATTTTAAAACATGTTATGTTTAAAACATGATATGTTTTAGGATGCCCAAATTACTGTTTTGATATGATGTGATTAAAGACAAAGAATTCTTCCATAAAGTATTAAACTGTGGAGAATATGTTGAGAAACTGTAGCTTCCCATTGTGATATTTGTGTTTAATAAGGTTTTTACAATTTTTATTAATACTTTTTTTAACTTATGTGTGTATTGATCAGGTCATACACCTCCAAGGAAAATTATGTTTTTACAGCTGATTGACTTTTCAACTAATTGATTGCTCACGTCAGATCACAAGATGGAGGATGATTATACCATGTTATAATATATTCATATATTATATAGTAGGCATTCCTATATACTAATATAATGTGCTATACTATATTATATATAATATAATGTATGTTATATAATATATTATAAAGCACATTAAGAAAGAGCAATCAGTCTAGTGCCAGCCAAACTACTGAAAATTATAGCCAAGTTGACACATAACATTAACCATCACAGTGAAACATTTAGTCACTTTTGCCTAAGCCTTGTAATGGCATGTTCAATTTAATTATGTTTCAACACCACGAAACCTTTTTTATTAATGTTTTGCCCTATAAGGCTAAGAATATTATTTTCATTCTTTCTTCTATACTCCTATACTTGTAGCTATAACATTCTTAATATATTGATTCAATTGTGTACACTTTGTATTCCTCCTAGTGTTTTTCTTCTCCTCAGCCTACAGTCTTTATTTCTTTCACTGATTCTGTTTCTGTTTTTCCATGTTGTTCCTTTTTCGTCTCCGAATTAAATAATGTACACCATTTCCCTTCCAGTATTACTGCCCTTTCCCTCGCAAACTCATCCTCAAATTTCTTCTGGTATTCCACTCCAGCTTTTTCCGGAAGATAGTAGAGACAGCAGTAAGCTCCAAAACGATCCCTCAGTGGCCCTCCACATGCCACACATCCCTTCTTCATGTGACCAGCCTCCAAGTGGAGACACACCCCTTACCTCTGTTGCCTGTGACAAGCAGCACTGTGGCCATTGTCAGTAAGTGTTAATACTAATGAGAGATGAAGGGAAGTGTATGTGTTCAGCAAATTAGTGCCAAAGAAGTGTCAAATGAGCCACAAGAGACAAGCCACTCGAATTTAGAATAATATTTAATATAGCCTTGTGTTCTTGACTATCACATCTTATAATATTGGAACGTCTCAGTCAAATCTATCCTTGGTCCCAGACTTTCTGTATTCTTCTAGTCTGCCCCCGGGGGATATTTCAAAGATCCTGAGGAGCAAGTTTGTTACCAAGACCCTCCTCCACGTAGTGAGTGGAAAACGAACCTATTAATGAATGTGGGAAACACAGACTTGATGTGAGGCCCATGGAGTCTCTGGAACCCTGGCCAAGTGTCTACTCTAAGAGGCATTTGGAAGAAACATGTTTGCCATTGGCCTAGATATTGGTGCAACTTCAGTTTTCTAACTACCATATGAATTAGAAGTCGTTGACTAAAACAGTAAGGATTTGCAGCAGTCTTCAGAAATGGGAGCTAGCTCACCGGGAATTTTTTACCCCCCTGCTATCCATGATGGCTAGAATCCAGCATCGTTCGTTCAGTGACTCACAAAGGAAGCACACATGAAAATAACAAAAGGAAAATGAGTGCACAGTTAAAATTGGCGCTTTATTTTCTGTCCTGCAGTATCCATCTGGAGAATTTGTTGTCCTTTCAACATCACCTACGTACTCATACTTTCTTAAGCGATTCAGAATATTGGAACAAAATGAAGTCCCCTCTTATAAAATGCTTACCAACCAATTTCTCTTTCTTTCTAGCCCAACCTTTCCAAAGGGGTGGTCCACCTTTGAAACTTCTGTGTTCTCATTTCTTTTTCAGAGTTTGGCTTTCCCCCCACTGTGTTATTGATGTGACTCATTAAGCTTCCCAATGTCTTCCTGATCGCTATATCCTGGGGCATTTCTCATCCTTTTTGTGTTTTCTGAATTATTTACTACTATTTGAATTCCCATTCTTTCTTAAAAGTTGTTCCTTGATCCTGTCTAACACACTTGGTTTCCTTGACTTCTCTTCTGGCTGTCCTTCAACTCTACCACTCTCTTTGGCTTCTTTTCCTCTGGAAAACCACCAACCTCTGCTTTTCTCCAGGATTCCACTTTCAGCTTTCTTCTCTCCTCACCGTGTCCACATCCACACATCAGCTGCCACCTGCTGCAGATGTGGAGTCAAACACATCCTTTTCCTACCAAGATTCCCACCTGTGGCTTGTCTTTCTCTTTCTCCCACACTGTACTTTGGAACGCACTGCAGGTACCTCCTACCCAGATGTCTTAAGCAGAAATCATCTTTTACCTTCCTCCCTGTTAACTCTTCCCCACCTTGGGTGAATACCTAAGTGCAGATCTCTACAGCTGTGTCCCTCATCCTGCCCTCCAGTATCTCATCGGTCACTAAATTATTTGGACTGTGAGATACACTAGGAAGAAAGACCTGATGATCTATTTCCGAACACTCCACCAACGTGAGTCCTGTGGTCTGATCCCATTGTACATTGGGTTGCCCTGTGTAAGGCGCAAACTCAATAGCAGCTAACAACACCAGCAACAAATACATCACAAATATTGCTTATTTACAGCCCAAAGAGACCTATACCTGGACCTTTCTCCTCTGGGGATTTGCTTCCTACATGGCCTTCCAGGCCCCAGTCTAAAGCTCCTTGAGTCCTACTTCCATGATGTCTCTGCATTTTTTAAAGAAAGCATATCTGATCATCTCATTCCCCTTATAATTTTTCATTTGCTCCTTCTTGCTATGTGCGTTCTTATAAAGTGCAGCTGCTCATGGCTAGCCTTGATTTTTCTCATCCTTCAGTTCCAGCTCATATTGCATTATCGCCACGTGGAAACGTGATCACCCTCTCTCTGTCTCCGGAGGATCCATTGCATATCTATAGGTTCTTACCTTTGGACGGTTAGAAAGGAGCCCTGGGGAATGAGGGGATGAAGGAAAGAAAGGATCCCTGGTGGCACTATGGAGCAGATGCTCTGTGCAAGAAAGATGAGGCTGACCTGCTCCGGGACGTTTTATAGTCTTGGATACTGTATATAGGGTTTGTGTGAAGTAGAATCAGCTCTATGGCGGTGCCATGTTTTGTTTGTTTGTGTACAATTAAACTTGTTTCTACCCATGCAAATGAAGTGTCCTATTGGCTCTCCCACACCCGTATCCCCACTTAGTGACCAGACCCTCGTCATCTCCTCTGAACACATCATGCAGGGACGTTTCCTGGCAGAGTTAGGAACCCTACATCTGGGTTTCCACAGCCCATTTCACATCTGATTATTCTTGCGTTGTGTGGACGTTGTCATTCCCTCGCCTTGTACCGTGAAAGCAGAGACAGACAGTGTTGAATTCCTCCTGATATACTTGGCAGCTGATACGGTGCCTTAGCACCGAGTGAGGAGTTTGTCTGGGTTTGCAGAGGGGTCTTGTCTCCCTCAGGGCAGCCTTACCTTTCACACTCCTGTTCCAGTAAGCTGATGAATTCATCACTCTTCTTCATGTATTCCCTATGCTTTCTCTTCTCTTCCTCCAACTCTACCAGGGCTTGCTGGTGGGAGTTTTCGACTAGTAAAAGCTGTTCCAGCAGTCGTCTGTAAGATTCCTTATGTTTCCCCACAACTTTGTCCAACTACAAAAGAAAACATATTTATAGCTTGTTAGCCACAAGTTGTTCAGACTCTGGTTACTCTGTGGAAGATCTAGCTTTTTACTCATTGGTAATTCAGGATTGGGCTTCGACTTCCTTGTGTGGTGTGTCTCATGACTTTTGGTACTTGACACTTGTCCTGTGTATAAACACACTCAACGCAAATGTTGTTTTTTTGGTGGTGTTGTGGATTTCTGGAGTGAATAGCTGGAACCTGTGAGAATTGACTTGATAGCATACAACAATGGCAAACATGGGAATGCTTAAGTTCCATATACCTTCCTTTTGATCCTCTTCCTTTCTCCAGAGAAATGATCCTAAGTGAATGATAGAAATGAAGAGAGTCCTTGGTTTGATCCTGTAGAGGCCCTAACCCCTTATAGTTCGTTGGACATTTCAGCCCTATACCTTTCCACCTTACACACCCAACCTAGTAGAAGCCGACCCAAATGTCAGTCGAGGCGCCTAATTTTACCACAAAAACTGCCTTAAAAATGTGCTGAAAAACTCGGCTTATACACAAATATATACTCTATGTCACACTGAACCAAGAACCTACATGCTGTCTGAAGTCTAGAAACATTTCCCCTACCCTTCCTCAGTAGCTTTCCTCTGTTGCTCTTAGGTAGAATTTTTGCTCCTTCCTATCACCAAAATGCTTAACTCCCAGGGTTTTCTTTCCCATATCCCGTGACTACTAAGGATGACTTCATATTCAAGCATGCTATCATTCTGTACAGCCACCACAGAGGCCATGCTTACAACAGCAGGGATCAGAAAGCGGTGTCGAAGAAAAGTTTTCAAAGGAGAGATTTACTGATTCTAAAGATATTTTAGATCAGACTTCAAGTTTGACCATGCGCCTTCATTTCTCCATGCCCAGAATGCCTCTTAGAAAGTATGCTAAGACTAAGCGAGAGAAAAATAGAACCTATATATGAGAAGTAATGGTTTTCACTTTAATCTCCTTCGCATTCTCGGCAGATCAAACTGTGGACCTGGTCCCACCTGAACTTCAGTTTTCACCATATGTACATCTCCGCATAGCCTAGCTACCTAACATTCTGTACTACAGGTTCTTCAGTTAGTAATTAAGTGCTTGGACTTGGTACTTTCTAAGATTAGTCCCCCATCTTTTACAAGTCAACAAGTATTTATTAAATGCCATTACCTAGTAATATGATAGTTGCCATGGAGAATATAAGAGAACTTTGAACTCTAACGTGTTTAGACTCTCAATACGATAAGATAAGCACATATAAGACCATTTAAGAACAGAATGAGGTCGGGTAGGAGCCCTTGTTGTGTAGTAGGTTACAAGTTGAGATGCTGACTGCAAGATCAGTAGTTGAAGCCTTTAGCCACTCTGCAGGGAAAGGTGGAAGTTGTCTACTACTGTAGCGACATAAAGTCTTGGAACCTAAACCCACAGCCACCTAGTCAACACTGACTCATAGCGACTCCATTGGACAGAAAAGAACTGCCTCTGTGAGTTTGCAAGACTGGAAGTGTTTATGGGAGTAGAAAGCCCTGTCTTTCACCAAAGGACCCGTGGGTGGTTTCAACTGGCTGACCCTTCAGATTGCAGCCCAACACATTTACAAGGCTAATTTTTACTCTGTCCCATAAGGTTGTGATTGACTCAATGGCTGTGAGTTTTATTAGCTTATAAGGTGGTGTATCATTAAGTACTAGTGAATTTTGCCATTTGCAGACTTAATAAAACAAGATATGCCAATCATTTCAGGAAATGTCATTGAATAGAAAGACAGCTCTTTAATGTTTTCTGGACAATGACAAACTTCCTGTCTTGTGCCAACCCCGTAATAGAATCAAACTGCTTGATGAGGAAGAAGGAAGCACAATATATTCTATTAGGTTGGAATTCTGATTAGCCTGTCATGGTCAGATTGGATGAAAACCAAAGATGATTTGCATTTTTTGGTTGCTTTTTATTGCTTATTATTTATTTTAATTTTCATATTCATTTAATTTTGAAATTAAAGAAAACTCTGTTTCAATACTCCCCAAACCACAGGTCACCCGATTAGGGATTTGATCTCTTTCCACATGGCCTTGGTTCTCTCTCTCTGTTTCCTTCCATTGGCTCTCGGTAGCATTAGCTTCCCTTTTTTTTTTATTACACTGAACAGACTGGTGGATCTAAAGCTAGTCCTGAGAACAGAGAAATTGTTTGACCTTTTCAGTAGATCAAAGGTAGAAACTATACTATTTATAGATGCCCCATCTTCTTCCTCTCTACTGAAACTTGCCTTTCTTTGCTAACACTGGAATCCTCAGATAGAGGCTGCTTGTTCTCTCAATGCCTTATTTTCTCAGATTCAGGAGATGGGGGTGTGATTCTCATGGTGCTGCTCTGCCTTGGCTAGATCCCTTCTCATTTGATTCTTCTTCTGAATGGGGATTCTGCTCTCTCATTCGCATCCTGGTCATCTACTGAGCTTGAGGTCGATTGTCTATAATTTTCCTTTCCACCCTTAAGGTATCATTTCGGGTGATTTTTAGATTTAGCTAGAACTTCCAGATTTAACGGATTCCTCTTGATGTAGCTGAAAGTTTCTTTTTCCTGGTTAGCATCATTTCACTTTCCTCAAAGCAGTCATTTGGAACACAGAGTTCTCTCTCTGAGTCCCAAGACCTTGGCTTATCTTTCTGTTCTTAATCTTAACACCTGCTTCATTAACACAAGGATCTCTTTGCATACATACCCTTAACACCTTCCCCTCCACTTCTGGTACTCTTAAATTACCTCTACATTCTTTTTTTTTTTTTTTACACCTCTACATTCTTAACCTCTTTATCGGTATGTACTTTTTGCTCCTGTCTTTTTGTTTCTTTCCAGAACTTGGTCTATGTATGATTCTCTCTCTCAGTTTTGGCCTTGAAAACTGCCTACAAACAGGATAAAATCTTCCCCTTTGAAAAGCACATATATTTGCTCAGACACAACAGAGAGGGAAGGAAGGTCTACCATGAAACTAATGAAGCTTAAATTTCAGGGCTCTTGACTTGCTTGGGTACCTCCAATACCCTGTGAGGGTCCCAGCAGTATGCTTACCTCATCCTATACTGGGAGAAAGATGAGACTTTTTGAGTTAGAGTCTCTCTGGAACCCCATAGGGCAATTCCACCCTGTACTTTAGGGTCTCTGTGAGTCAGAATCGACTCCAAGGCAGTGAGTTTTAGTCCTGTGTTTTTTAAAAAATGTTTAAAAGTAATACATTTTAATTAAGAATTAGGACCCCTGTCCTTTTTCTTTTTTCCCCATTTTGACTTATTCTCTCTCATACTTTCTCTCAGGATAAATTGTCTTGGAATAACCCTGAACATTTCTGGGGTCCTGATAAGGAGCCCTGGTGGTGCAGTGGTTAAATGCTCAACTGCTAACTAATTGAAAGGTCAACAGTTTGAACCCACCAACTGCTGCACAGGAGAAAGATGTGGCTGTCCACTTCTGTAGTGATAACATCTTTGAAAACCCTAGTCCCAGTTCGATTCTGTTCTATGAGGTCCTTATGAGTCAGAATTAACTCAACAGAAATTGAGTTTGGTTTTTGGTTTGGTAAGAAGATCAATGAAAGGTTAGAGTGATATACTTTTATGTAAGCCATCTTGGTAAAAAAGGCTTCCAAGAAACACTCTTACCAGCCACTGTGCTATGTCACTCAACCATTGGACAATTGCAGAGACGACACTGCGAGTGAGTATGCCCTTTAATTCTCAGTGCTGGAACTTTGCTGGTGGAGGAACAAGGTTAAAGAAAATCTATGAAGCAGGAAACCAGTCTGGAAATTTCCCTTTTCATTCAGCCTTTGGGGTTTTGTTTGCTTTCATGCAGGCGCGCAAAAGAGTTCGCTTTTATCTAATGATTGTATGTATTTTCTAGTGAGATTTTATGATACATAGTTCACAATTTTATTAGAAATAGAAATATTGTATCCTTTCGGCCTGATTAATCCTATTCCTCTTCTGAAATTTTTACTTTCCTGACTATCTAAATTTGATCCTTCTATTATATCTCACATAGAATTTTGTATTTTTTCCTATGAAGGTTAACATAATGTGTAATTCTATACTCACTCACTGATTATTTGTTGTCTGTCAGTCCCTTAGACAATCAATACCCTGAAAGCAGGAATCACACAGTTTTTAAAGATTACCTCTTTGATAAAAACTCATTAAATGAATGAATAAAATTAAACTTCAAAGCTAAGTTATCCATTTGTTTAAAATAAATACTTTAAGGATTGCCCCCAAGATTATGCCTATTCTCACATTCTTTTACACCACCTTGATAAGTCCAAAATCTATTACATTTTCAGTGGCAATTTTTTCTTGGAGTACAAAGACTATTTTAGGCAATTGATTCTGGCTTGTGTGTGTGTGTGTGTTTATTTAAGGTAACTTATAACAGAGAGTCTTAAATGAAACTGAATAGATTCCCTCTACTGCATTCTCTGACTTTTGCTTCTTTCTTTCCTTGCTCTGACAACCTTCCCACCCCCCTTTGCATCCTTTGTTCTAGCTCACAGGCCATCTCCAGCTTTTCATCTTGAATCACAGTTTCTACCCTGTCATGTAACTGAGAACTGTTTGCTCTTCTAAGTTATTTTGCCTTAAGAACAGTTAAACCCTCTTTAGTTTACCCTGGGCATGGTTAAAATTTTTCAGGTAAGGAGGGAGGATGGTAACAGGCCAGGGGTAGGGAGCAAAACTAATGGTAGGATGATTACAGCAGTTTTACACAAATAACACATACAGTTAGTTCTACACTTTTTGCAAACCGAGTAACCCCCTCACATGTTGATTTCCATGTTTTGTACATGTGCATGTTATTTATTTTAATCTTTTTTTATTAGGGGCTCATACAACTCTTATCAATTCCATACATAAATCAATTGTGTAAAGCACATTTGTACATTCATTAACCCTCATCATTCTTAAAACATCCGCTCTCCACCCAAGCCCCTGGCATCAGCTCTTTATTTTTTCCCTTCCTCCCCACTGCCCACTCCCTCATGAACCCTTGATAATTTACAAATTATTATTTTGTCATATCTTGCCCTGTCCGACGTCTCCCTTCACCCACTTTTCTGTTGTCCGTCCCCCAGGGAGGAGGTCACATGTAAATCCTTGTAATCTGTTCCCCTTTCCAGCCCACCCTCCCTCTACCCTGCACTCACACCACTGGTTCTGAAGGAATCATCCGCCCTGGATTCCCTGTGTTTCTAGTTGCTATCTGTACCAGTGTACATCCTCTCGTCTAGTTGGATTTGTAAGGTAGAATTGGGATCATGATAGTGGTGGGGGGTGTGGAGAGGTGGAGGAAGCATTTAGGAAGTAGAGGAAAGTTGTATGTTTCATCGTTGTGCATGTTATTTTGGTCGGCACATTATATACAGAAAATATGATTGTTAATGTGCAAATTCCTTAATCTGATGTGCAGATAGTCTAGGTGGAGGCACTATTTTCCCTCCCTTTCTTTTTTCCTTTAGCCCTATCTGGGACTCTGCATCAGGATTCTCCTTTATTATTTGTTGTCTGAATATTCCTGTCTCTCGCTGCTAACTGTGGAGAGGAGTACAGACAACGAGATGGTTAGAACTGGGCTTCAAGGAATTGGAGAGGCGGTTGAAGGAGAAAAGGGAAATTTCAAAGGGGAAATGGAAGACAAGCAAAAGGAAAAAGGCAAATCGTGAAAGCAGGAACATGAACTTTGCTTAACTCAGTCTGCGTGTGTGCATGTGTGCAAGAGAGAGAGAGAGAATCTATTGAGAGAATAACTTTAAAAATGGGATTCACAAAGCAGGTCAGATTATGGATAACTTTCAGTGGCACTTTGTAGTGCTAAGACTCCATGCACTTGGAGAATCCAGACATTTTCGATTTTGCATGTGTGCCATAGAATTATTTTGTAACTCCAACTTTTTTCCTACTGTTTTGAGCAAACCTTTGGAATTATTCTGTTTAATTGCACACTGACGTGTTGGGGGGTTTTGCCCTTTGTGGAATTTTGTCATGAGGTTACTCGGTGACCGTTAATTTGCATTTGAGCTTATACAGACCAGAGAATTTGTGTCTGATGTCATTTCACAGTCAGTGTGCTTAGAGCCAGACAACATTTTAACACTGTGGAATAGAATTGAGCTTCAGCTCCTTCTTGTTTAAAATGTGGATGAAAGCACAAGTCAACAGACGTTGGGTGGTCTCCTCCTCATCCCTCAGAGATCCAGATCCACATGACCAGAATTCGTCACAGCTTGGCAAGATGGTAGTCTCCTCTCAGGAGAACCCAGGCAGAGAATAGCAAGGACATTAGAGGTCAGTGCTGAGGTAGGTTGCCAAAGCTTATGTGGGGGAAATTTGTCCAAACGGCTCTCACTCTCTCCAGCCTTCACTCCTAGTCAGTTCTTCTTAGCAAAATTGAAAAATTATAAAATTTTCCATTGAAGTCTCAGAGGAAAATAGAAGAATAAGAGTGCCAGAGAGCGTCAGACATGTCAGTGAGTGAAAGTGCAGTCAGTGCCTCGTTTGCACGCAGTGGTGGCCACATGGCGGCTGCCCACCTCTGCCATTGTAGTGGCTGGGAAACACCTGTTGGGGTCAAGCTTTTGGCTGCCATTAAAATTTCAGGTAAAGATGGTACTTGTGTATCTAAACTCTTCATGTTTTAAAAAACTCTATTTCTTGGGCAGTTCTTCAGATCATTTCCCTTCATGCTAAAAATTAACTTCTTAGTTGATTTAATCCTTTTTTTTTTTTTTTTTTTTAAATGAAGCTTGAACAACCTTCAGATCCGCCAAAGAAGTTCAGGCTCTTTCCTCTATGTGTTGCTTGTCTACCGTGAGCTCTTGGGTGGTGCAAACCATTCATGCTCTCATCTGTTAACTGAAACGTTGAGGTCAGGGTACACCCGAATATTTCTTGGAAGAAAAGCCAGGTGATCTACTTATGAAAAATCAATCACTGAAAACTCCCTGGAACACGCGCCTATTGGAATACACTAGGGATGGCCATGAGTCAGGGTCAACTAGATGACTATTGGTGATTGGGGTGTGTGTGTGTGTGTGTGTGTGTGTGTGTGTGTGTGTGTGTTGGGTGTTTCAGGGATAGAGGGGGACAGGACCTGGAGAGAAGAAAATTTTCTTATTATTTGATTGATTTCTGTCTGATACTAAGAACCAGACCTAGTGGAAGCACCCTAGCTAGAATCCAGTCTTCTCTGTTGTAGCGCATGTAGTATTTCAAGGTTATTGCAGTCTGGCCATATCCGATTCTGCTTTGGGTAGTTTTTAGATACCTTAAAGTAAAAAGAGACTGAAAAGGAATTATAGTTCATGTCCCCCACCCCAGCCCCCAGGCCTCATGCTTGGCTGGCACCCTCTGATATGTCAAGTACCTCATTCATTGGTTTCTCATAGATGTCCTCCTGCCAGGGGGCAGATTTTGCTTGAAAAGCATCCCGTTGAAGAGCCTCGAGCACCTTTTTTGGAGTGACAAACCCATACTGAGCTTCCAGCAAAGCCAAGTCCATTTTTTCAGCCTTTAAAACACCTATAACTTCATCTCGGGCCTGTAGGAACAAAAGGTATTTCAAGAAGCCTGCTTCTCTACTAACTGTCTCAGCAAGGGATATCTTGTGATAGCTGGCAGTACTTCTCATTATTCCCATCTCCGCCCCCAAAGGCAAGCACATCATATTTGATTAGAGCGCCTTTTGGAAAAGATAGCAAAACGGTGCCCTTTCATCCTTCTTTATAAACGATTGACACATTAATAATGCTTTAAAAAAATGATCGCTGTACTGCAGTGGGAGGCGTGTGTGTGTGTGTGTGTGTGTGTGTGTGTGTGTGTGTGAGAGAGAGAGAGAGAGAGAGAGAGAGAGAGAGAGAGATAAAATGGTATCCCTCAGTGAGCTAACGTGTGTTTTCAGGGCTAGAAAATAAGATAGTTCTTCATTCATTCTAGCAGCTGTTTTCAGTATTTTGGATTTAAAAAAATTTTTTTTTAATGTAGATTAATAATACCAGAGTGAGGAGCCTGGGAGCCAGTTCACATAGAGTACAAAAGCACCTATTGTTATTTAAAGCAACCCAGAAGTCATCTGGAATTATTGTTACTGATACGTGCCTGTGTGCTGGAGCTCAAGAGCAGCATGGGCAGAGGATGTGACCTTTTACAACGTGCATTCCAATCCCATGTCATAACGACAGCCCTTTTAAATGTGATTAATTGCCTTTCAAGCTAGCAGAAGAGAATCTTGCATATGCGTACACACTCTTTGCTTTCATGTACACACAAGTATGAGCCACAGATAGCGATTGCTGTGGCGGCATGCACCCCCAATTCTCAGTCAGCCTTCCCTTTGAAACGTGATGAGCAGGACTCCAACCAAGCTCACCTGCAGTTCTCCTTCCAGGATGCTGAGGAGGAATAAGAGGTCATCTCTTGAGAGGTCTTGGCCTTGGTGGCCATTGACGTGGTGTGAATTCTCTGGCATGGGACATGGAGCAATTGCATCCAACTCACTCACTAGGCCTTTGCTTTGCTTGCTGTGCTTCGTTCCCTCAGGACCTTGGGCACTATGGTCTTTACTCTGTCTCCCAAATTGTTGTGGGGGTGAGCCCGCCTTGTCGCTGCTTTTTGACCGCATTCTTTAAGACCTGGCAAGAGGAAAAACAATTTGAAACTCTTAGTGGAAGTGGGATTTTAATAGGGGTACCAATTACTTTTTTTGAACAAGCAAGCATTCTTTATATTTACCTCAGCCAAAGACATGATCTTTTGATGTCTACAGCAGTAAGGGGCATTAGCAGATTCATAAATCACGGTCTTATTTACACTTCTGTTTTTAAAATGAACACTTTAAAAAAAGTCTCTGCTTTGATCAAGCCCACTTATGTCCATGGATAAACATTCTGTGTTTGAAGTATATCCCTCAAGCATTCCAACTCAGGGACCCAGGTCAGACCTCCAGCCACGGCTTAAGTGCTTACTTAAGTTGACACTTACTTAACATGATTACAGAACGGTAAGTTGTTCATTGTTCTGACTTTCTGTAGATTCAAATTATAGCATTTCATTAAGCAGTTATTTATGTATTTGGTTATGAACCTTTTAGTCATTGGTATGTTAAGGAAGAAGCATCAACATGGACTTTTTTGTTGTGAAAATCAACCCTAGTGTTATAGGAATGAAGGCCTGGTTGCCGATGTAATAATTATCCAAATTCATGTACAATGGCAAGAACAATTTTTCCACCCTTGAGACTTCTAACGGAGAAAATATCAGTTGAGTTTTGAGTCAGCTTCCTTGCTGTGCAGGCAGATAATCAATTTTAATTATTCCTTGCATATTCACCTTCTTCTGGGCTTTATCTTTTCTTTGTAATAATAGAGGTTTCAAAAAAATAATAATTATAATAGAGGTATCTCCTGCTGTCTGAAAGCAGAGTATTCCTATGAAACCTTTCTTAAACTGGGATGTCATAAAGCAAAGAAGCAATTGCAATTAATTTACTTGGGAAAAAAATTTCAGCGTTTCCAGACCCGAAAAATTTATCTACCAAATCATAAAAAATAGTATCGAAAACACGAACATATAGTACTAAACCAACATGAATATATTACATTAACAGACACAATGCAAAGTTTAAATATGGGTAAGAAGTGAGTTGTTCATATAATTTAAATAGTGCATGTTCATCAAAATTCATAAGCATAATGGAATAAGTATAAATATGCATCTCGAAAATATAATCATGAAAGGAATCATAAGTTACGGAAAGACATCTTGGCTATGTTGTTTACGTATGGTCTGAAATCACGCCGCGCAATACTAGATGTGTTATTGAGCTGAGGTACTGGGTGTGGCGCCAGGGAAGGACCCTGGCAATGCCACTCTGGCTGCTTGAGGTGCGTGCTGCCTCTGTAACAATTCGATGAAAAACCAACACACGCCAGAGAGTGGAAATACTCTTCAGATTTATCTCACTCAGGGAAAACTGGTACTAATACAGACCTTTCATGAAAGTGACATGTTATAAAGTGAACGTTTGAAATGTAGGATGTAAGATGCCTAAATTTTTTTTAAGTATGGACTGTTGCTGAACAATACATATAGTACTTGCTCTGTTGTATGTTTTCAGACTTAATGTAAATGACATATTTTTGAGATTTATTCAGAGTGCATTGTAAAGTGGATTACTGCAGATGTAGTTAGGTTAAAACATAATTCCTCTGGGCGTCTACTCAAGTATCCCTCAACACAAGAACACTTTGTTCTAATGACCTGGCATTCCTTAATGCTCAGCTTCCCAGCATGATCCCTGAGGACAAAATGGGTGCATAATCAAATGTGAAGAAAACTGGTGGTGCCCAGCTATCAAAAGAGATTGGGTGTGGGGTCTTAAAAGCTTGAAGATAAACAAGCGGCCATCTAACTGAGAAGCAACAAAGTCCACATGTAAGAAGCATGTGTTCATGAAGTGTGTGAAGTGTCAATGGGATCAGGTATCAGGCATCAAAGACCCAGAACAAAAAACCATATCAATGTGAATGAGGGGCCATGCAGAGTGGAGACCCAAAGCCCATCTTTAGATAATTGGACATCCCCTTACAGAAGGGTCACAGGAAGGGACGAGCCAGTCAGGGTGCAGTATAGCACCAGTGAAACATACAACTTTCCTCTAGTTCTTTAATGCTTCCCCCACCTAGGCCCCCTCACTATCATGATGCCAATTCTACCTTACAAATCTGGCTAGACCAGAGGATGTACACGGATGCAGATAAGAGCTGAAAACACAGGGAATCCTGGAGAGATGTACCCTTCAGGACCAATATTGAGAGAAGTGATACCAGGGGGGTAAAGGGAAGGGGGGAGAAACGGGGAACCGATCACAATGATCAACATATAACCCCCTCACAGGGGGATGGACAGCAGAAAAGTGGCTGAACGGAGACATCAGACAGTATAAGACATGAAAAGTAATAATTATCAGTTATCAAGGATTCATGAGGGAGAAAGGGAGGGGGAGGAATAGGGAAAAATGAGCTGGTACCAAGGACTCAAGTAGAAAGAAAATGTTTTGAAATTGATAATGGCAATAAATGTACAAATGTGCTTGACACAGTGGATGGATGTATGGATTGTGATATGAGCTGTATGAGCCCCTAATAAAATTATTAAAAACAAAACAAAAATGTAATTCCTCATTATATGATGTCTCCTTTGACCAAATTTAAATTGTTCCCATTTTTAATATTTTCTGCTGATGTTTTTCTCTGTTTTGTGTTGTTATTGTTGTTGGTCTTTTAAAATTTTTTGTTTAGTCTTTTGTTTTTGATTTGTATGTTTCTCCATATATGAAATTCAGGGTAGGTAAATCTACAGAGACAGTAACTGCATTAATAGTTTCCTAGGGGCACAGCAGGGAGGTTGGGGGAGAGCTAACAAAAATGAGGAGCTAAAATTAATGAGTATGAGAAAGAAGAAAGTGTTCTAAAATTGATTGTGGTGACAATTGCACAACTGTTTTTAATACTATTGAACTATTGAATTTATGATATGTCAATTATATATCAATATGACTGTCAAATAAATAAATGATATATACCCCCTCCCCCCAAAAAGACAATAGAATTGTTCCATATATTTATTTATCCATGCACTTTTTGAAGCCCCCTGCTATGTCCTTATTCTCCTAAAGGGAGTATCAATTTACAGCAGAGCTAGAAAGTTCTCTTTGTTCTAACTCTTCATCACCAATTACTTATTGAATTTAAAAGTTTTCCAATTTGATCAGAATTCAATTTGCTTGAATTGTGCATATTACCATTATTAGTGAGATATGGTATCTTTTCATATGTTCTTTTCGGGTCATTTCAGTTTCTTATTAAGTTGCCTGTTCATTGCCTGCCTGTTTTTCTTTGCATTGTTTCTCCTACTACTCTCAGTACATGTAATACATTTTACTCAAATGTTCCATGGAAATAACTCCTAAAATGGGTCATGAAAAGTGCTCTGAACTAATGAAGTCGAGAGAAAGGAATTCTGACACAGATTGACCCTCTGATTTGGTTAAGACAGCGATCCCCTGTGGGCCCAGTGACCTGATCTGTGAGGTGAGAGGGGCGGGCAGATGATCGCTCCAACTTCTTGTCCCATAATTTATAATGATTTCTTTCCACCATGCCTTTCTTCTAGTAAAGACTGCCATTAGTCTATTTAACAGAGTTGTCTTTGTGTATCTGCATCTTACTGGAAATCCACAGGAATCTAAATGCTGCTGGAGGATATCAGTGAACCTTTACTTGACAAATTCCACCAGAGTTGAGATTACAGTTACGGAATTAACCCTAGTACTAATTTTCAGCTGAGAATATTTTTTCCCCCCACCCTAGCAATCAGACAGGGCTTGAAGGTGTTTATTGCCTTACATCTTTATTGTTACATGTTTTATTTGTCACTTGCAGGCCAACTGTCAACTGATATTAAAGAGACACCTTGCCTTAAGAGTGCAATATCCTCCTGGAAACGTTTAATCCATCCCATTTCAAAATTGAGTAAGTCCTATAGTGCCCTTTCTGGAGCCCTAGCAGCATAGTAGATTACATGTTGGGTTGCTACTTGCAAGGTCAGCAGTTCAAACCCAAGAGCCACTCCTTAAGATAAAAATGAGACTTTCTGCTCCTGTAAAAATGCACAGCCTCAGAAACCCTTGGGGACAATTCTGTGTTGTCCTATGGGGTGGTTGTGAGTTGAAATCACCTTGATAACAATTATATACATACATACATATATATAGTGTGTGTGCTTTCTGCATGACTTACACTCCTCACTTCACTCTGCTACAAGTTTATTTACTCTGTTGGCTTTGGAGCGTAAAAAGCTGGTGGTGGTGCTGTGATGGTGGTGGAAATTGTAATGATATTCTTATTGTTCATGGTCATCCAGTCAGTTTTGACGCATGGTGACCTGTGTGTGCAGAGGAGAACTTCACCACTAGGCTCTCCAGGCTTTGGCCTTTATGGAGTAGATGCAGCCTCATCTTCTACAGCTCCTCTTAATGAACTCAAGCTGTCAATATTCTGGCTAGTTGTCAAGCACTTAGCTCTCGCACTGCCGAGGGACTTCAATAATATAAATGGCTATTACTTATTGACCAACACTTGTCTGTCAGTTTTCCATACTGTGGTAGCTTGTGTGTTGTTGTGATGCTGGAAGTTATGTTACTGGTATTTCAAACGCTGTTCAAAAACCAAAGTGAAAAGGTTTCAGTGGAGTTTACAGACTATGAAGAAGGAATAAGCTGTTTTCTTCTGAGGAAGTAGCCACTGAAAACCTGATGGATAGCATCTAAACATTGTCAAATACTGAAGGCCTAATAGACAGAAGCTGAACATTGTCAGAGACAGTGCCAGAAGATGAGCCCATCATCTCAGAAGGCACCCAAGATATGACTGAAGAAGAGCTACCTTCTCAAAGTACAGTCAACTATAATGGCATGGATGGAGTAAAGCCTGTGAGATTAAAACCTCAAGGGCCTTCATTTGCTGATTGGGGAAGAACTCAAAATGAGAAGAAACAGCTGCAGAAATCTACTAATTGGAACTTGTAATGTACAGGGTATTAATCTAGGAAAAGTAGAAGTTGTCAAAATTGA